TTTGGAGAGGGATGTTTCCAGCAGTCAGCTCTGACAGTCGGACCGAACATTCTTGCTGTAACACCCTCGTTTATATATGACATTTAGCTCTCTGGATTATATCCTTCTTGGGATTATCCATACGGATTACCAAACTTTTCATGCGTCCAAAAACTTTTTTTTTACAATTTGCCATACTATTTTCTCAACACTGTTTCTTGATATATAAAATTAGATGTAATTATATATCGTTATATATACATATATATATATATATATATATATATATATATATATATATATATATATATATATATATATAAGCAGAAAACTAATATGTATATACATCTATGTATAAATTTATATACATACACACACACACACATATATATATAGTTTTCTGCTTTAGTCTTGTGTGTTGACGCATTTCAATAAATTAACAAGAGTAAATAAAAAAGAATGACAAGAACGAAATTGATAAGCAAAGCATGTGCTTCTTTATTGAATTAATCTATTTCCTGTATCCGTAGGGTGTCTGGGTAGGAGAAGGATGGGCGAGGCCAACTTTATTACATCAGTTTGCAGCTTTGGCAATAAGCGAGGCGAGAGTTTTGCAGAGAGGTGTAACGAATCTGTAAGGTTTTAAGGAATACAGCATGTAGGCTGGATGTGAGGATGGCCAAAGAACGCCTCGGCCAAAGAAAAATAGATAGATAGATAGATAGATAGATAGATAGATAGATAGATAGATAGATAGATAGATAGGAACAGAACTGAGATAGATAGATAGATAGATAGATAGATAGATAGATAGATAGATAGATAGATAGATATGAACAGAACTGGGATAGATAGATAGATAGATAGATAGATAGATAGATAGATAGATAGATAGATAGATAGATAGATAGATAGATAGATAGATAGATAGATAGATAGATAGATAGATAGGAACAGAACTGGGATAGATAGATAGATAGATAGATAGATAGATAGATAGATAGATAGATAGATAGATAGATATGAACAGAATCAGAGCGATAGAAAGATACATACATACATATAGAATTAGAGAGATAACTCGAACAATCACTGATATAAAACTAGTGTGTAACTGAAAAGCAAACTAAAGTTAATATAAAATCAAGATTGAACAAATGCGAAATATGGATGGATTGATTAAATGTGCCTAAAAATCGTTTTGCTTATTTTTAAATGGATATCCATAAGTAGATATCTTTTACACACACACACATACATATATATATATATATGCATATGTATATGTGTGTGTATTTGTGTGTGTGTGACTGTTTTTATTGTAATTTTATGTTGATGTAAAATCAATTTTTAGTCTTCAATTTTTTAAAAGTGAATTTCGAATATTATTTTTATTATTTATTTAAAAACATTTTTTCGTCAGCTGCATAGAAGTGAAAAATACGAAATTTAAAAACTGAATCTACAGCCGAAAGCATATTTGATCTATCGAAACATCGAGCACTTATAAAAACATAACGTTTTGATAACAAAATAGACAATGTTGTATTCAGGTTATTTCTCGGTGTCAGAATAACGAACGATGGTTTCCACGAAACGAGACACGTGACTATAAAACTGATTCAGCGAAAATGGCGATGAAAAAAAAAAAGTAACTGATTTCATGCCGGATTCTTCGTTTGTTTTTTCAAGCGACAGAAAATGTCCGTTCCTTTACCGACCATCGCATGAAGAACATTGAATAAAAATAATGAAAAATAAAGCCAATCACTTTGTCTTGAAGAGAAGAGATAAATTCGACTTTGAGGAAAAGAAAAGTTCTGTACAAATCAAACAGACGTATTTTAAAAAAAAAAAAAAAAGTTCCAATTATGTGAGTACCTATATACTTTAAACCTGCGATCGTAACGGTACCCTGGTGGGGTGATGACATAATAGTGGCTACTAGGGGGTGATTAGAATAAAAGGGCTGTTTCCTTAAACATGATCAATGATTGAATGTACCCTGAACATTACACACAATTTCGGCAAGTTTCTTTACAAGTCTCCACTCAATGTCAAACGACATTTATTCCAAACGAAAAAAAAAAACAAAACACATATGCAGGTCACTTAGCAGCATAGGAAGCGTCACATACGGGACACAAATAAAATTAAACTGAATGAGGTTGTCGGATCCTCATACGTCAAAACCAACGGGTGAGTCCATCATACACACACACACATATATATATGTATATATATATATGTTTCATTACTGGGAATTTTTAATGTTCAGTTGGAGCAATTTAAGTTTAAAGTCAGCCCACTTTAAAATCAATATTAGTAACAACATTTGGGTGCAACTGAGTCACATCCCCAAAAGGGAGGGTTAACAATTTGAAGTGGGGGCTGAAAAGAGCCGTTTTTGCGTTGTCAATCTTGTTTCAGCCTCACACGGAGCAGCAGTTAAAGAGGCGTTTCTCCTCAGTGGTTGAAAGCCCTTTGATCAACATTTTTAGCCTCAGGCGCAGAAGCATTCAGATAGATAGATAGATAGATAGATAGATAGATAGATAGATAGATAGATAGATAGATAGTATGCTCTTCTGGGAAGCCGATGGTTACGTTGATCTTCGGACTCTGGCTGATTAAAGCATTCTGAAAGGCAAACCGAACATTGTAATGACAATTCTTTATCTCTTATTCGCATGGCGGACCTGACGGCAGCAGTTTTGTGTCCTAGACAAGTTCTTTTCTTTGGTGGCATGTCTTAGGCAAGTATGAATTTTCAAATGGAATGTGTGGACAAATACCAGAAGAGAATGCTGTAAATCTACAGGGATCACTAAGTTCAAATAACTTTAGGAAAGGTTGGAAAAATAAATGTTGAGAAATAAAAAAGCAAGCTTACTTATCACTACGGTGAATGCAATGCAAAAACTGGCAGGACAATAAAAAAAATTTAAATTGGGAATGGCTATAAACGACAATGACAGCAACACCTTAAAACTGTAGTAGTAGGCTTTATGCAACAGAAAACGTAACCTCACTTAAGAGAGATTGTAGATTGGCCAAGAGAAGGGGAATGTGTAATTTGAACTCAAAACTGACACTGAAGAATTATCTATCAAACAAAAATATTTAATCGAAATCGGATGAAAACTATGGAAATGCATAAACAACATCCGTTCACAGACACACACATACATACATACATACACACACATTTTGAGAATTATATATACATATATATATATATATATATATATATATATATATAGAGAGAGAGAGAGAGAGAGAGAGAGAGAGAGAGAAACAAAACACTAGGCGAGAGAAGAGTTGGGGAGAAATGAGTAAGTGATAAATAAGAATCGACTGAGATTTGAACAGAGATAGATAGATAGACTTGAATAGACTGGGATAGATAGATAGATAGATAGATAGATAGATAGATAGATAGATAGATAGATAGATAGATAATGAACAGAATGAAATATACAGATAGATTAGCCATGCCTGGCACATCGGTCAGGGTGGTGAGTTATCATCATTGGGTCATTAGCAACTACTTCACGTAAGTGAGTATATATATATATATATATATATATATATATATATATATATATATATATATATATATACTCGACTCTCCCGTCAAATTCGATGTATTAGGGTTAAGCAGATCAGTTTCCAGGAGACCTACAACCCGAAAACAACACATGAGATTTGATTATAGTGGTAAAGGTTTCGTGCAGGACCATCCACATCTTTTGAAGGGCCGAATACAGAGACCTGGTGCACTACGTGCCACAAGGTCCCCAAACGACCCTCCACAGGTTTTAGAATACAGAGTTATATATATATATATTAAAGCATGTTGGATAGTTTTGTATTGTAATCAAATTCCTTTCATATCGTCTAACCTTAATAACATTATCATTGAAAGACGAAAGAAAATCACCATATTGATACATGGTTTTTTTTTTTAAATCCTAAGCTTTTGGGTAACGTTCACCTTCGCTTATAAAAAACGTGGCTGTCATCGTGTGTGTTTGTGTGTCTGTGTATGTTTAAGTGAGAGAGAGAGAGAGAGAGAGAGAGAGAGCTTGACAATTTCTCTTTGGAGGCGTTTCTAACGCGTGGCTTATCATCTCTCAGTTGAGTCTCTGTCTTTGGGCAGAGTGCGCTTATGGACTTCTCTGTCAAAGGACAGAGGGGCAACTGAGAAAATAATACTGAGAGGTGCCCAGCCCTGGCGAACAGCTTCCCGAGGCAGCATCCTCCCATTACACTAGAGGCCAGCGCAACCGACGTTTTCGGGGGCTGTGTGCAATTTTTGTCCCTTGCCCAGGTGTACGTGATCGTCTCCCCACTTTAAAAAGACCTTGTGTCACATCTCGTCCTCGTGGGTTTAACGAGTAAACACCGTGAAAGAGAGAGAGAGAGAGTGAGAGAGAGAAAGAGAGAGAGAGTGAGAGAGAGAGAAAGAGAGAGAGAGGGTGAGAGAGAGAGTGAGAGAGAGTGAGAGAGAGAAAGAGAGAGAGAGAGAGAGAGAGAGATGAGTATAATACGTGTTTTTCGCAGACCATGGTAAAACTTGGAGATATTAATTTAATAGCAACAACAAGAAAACGTCCGGCATTTAAATGTCTTCCCTTGGAAATTAATCGACCCAACTGACTTCTTTGACAGAAGACATAGCCGCTCTTAAAATGAGGACGCGAAATTGATAGACGGATGCGCATGCGCCCAATTCTTGTCAAGTCCAAAAGCAACAATGGAGAGAGAGAGAGAGAGAATAAAAACTTGCCGGGGAAGGTCGATATCCTCTGCGGGTCAAACCTGTAAATATTGATGTTATTCTTCGTCGTTTTAGATTGAGAACATGCGTAGATTGCTGAAGAGATTCACTTAAAGTGGTTTACATCAACAAGAGAGGCACTTAACAGAAGAGAAGCTCGCTTTTTTTGCTAAACTCATGTGCATCCAGATTTCATTTTCTCTCTTCTTTTCTATCTTTTAAATCGTAAACATCATCTATGCATCAGTTCTCTCTATCTATCTTTCTCTCTCACTATCTCATCTTTTCAATTCTTTTCTCTATCTATTTATCAATATCTCAATTTTTTCTATCTACCTCAGTCTGTTTTCTTTCATCTTCTATCTATCTATCTATCTATTGTTCATATCTATCTATCTATCTATCTATCTATCTATCTATCTCAATTCGTTCATATCATCTATCTATCTATCTATCTATCTATCTATCTATCTATCTATCTATCTATCTCATCTATCTCACTCTGTGTTCATTAGCCATCTATATATCTCTTTGTCTAAGTCTGTTCTATCTATCTATCTATCTATCTATCTATCTATCTATATCTCTTTGTCTATCTATCTATCTATCTATCTATCTATCTATCTATCTATCTATCTATCTATATATATATATATATATATATATATATCTTAGCGTCTTGTCTTGTCGAACGTAATTTCAAGAAATGAATTGAATAAACATATATATTTTTTCTTTTTCAATAATTTTGTAGTTTTTAAACTTAATAGTGATTAAATTTGGATTTTAAAATTGTCAGTTTTTAATTTTAATATTAAATTTTATCATATAAATTTATAATTATTAGTTAGTATAAATTATTTTTAATATTACACGTATTTAAAGATCTGAATAGCTATTAGAGCAGGATTTCGTTGTCAAGCTTTTGAATCTTTCTATACTTCGTTTTTGATTGGTTATTCTAGCTTTTGTAACAATGTTCCCCCTGGTGTAGGATCGTTAATTAATCTGAAACTTTTAAAACCATTTATTTTCTTTTCAACATCATCACTTGATAAGACACAGAGTGTGTTGAAACAAAATGGCTATTTTTGAAGTGATTTTATAACATACTTATGTTATAAATTTTTTATAAAAAAATAATATATATATATATATATATATATATATATATATATATATGTATGTATGTATATCTAAATAAATAGAAAGAACAGTAAGATATATAATCCGGTGTTCTTATAGATATTTTTATTTTTTACAAAATAGTGCTCAATGTAAATTTACAGAGCATAATATTAATAAATTAATATTATAATTAAATAATATGTTTTTTCGCTACACAGTAATAACCATGTTTCAAAAATGGAAGCTAAAAACTTTAAATTTAATTTTCTAATTAATTATAATATATATATATATATATATATATATATATATATATATATATATATATATATATATATATATATACATAAGCAAATATATGGATATAGATCCGACAGTAATTAAAAAATATATATATATATATATATATATATATATCTCACTCTGTACATTAGTTATCTGTATCTCTCTATCTACTTCAGTCTTTTCATATCTATCTATCTCAATCTGTTCAGTATCTATCTATCTATCTATCTATCTATCTATCTATCTATCTATTTAGCTAGCTAAAACCTAATTCTCTTTGAAAGATACGAAATGTGTTTGAATTCAAATAAAAATGACCCAATATTATTTAATAAATATTTGACTGATTCTTTTTTTACGGTATATCAACCCATTTGCGTTTATTTAAAGTCAGAAAATATGTTTAGATTGTAATATTTTTAAGATAAGATTTTTGTAATACAAATCTAACCCATATCTGTGGGGCTAAGAGGTGAATTCCTACCTTTCGCAAGGATATTTTCGCGGAAGTGAATATAATGATCACAACATGAATTGGAACTCGCCTCTCTGATTAACAATTCCGAGCCATTAACCATTACACCACCGGCATATCTAAGCTTACAGCACCTGATATTCCCAAGCGGTCACCCTCCTTGCTATAGACCAAACTTAACGTTGCTTAACTTCTGTGATCTTATACGTGTATCAGTGTTTCAACGTGATGTGATTTATTTAATAAACACAGTGAAAAAAATCTGCTTAATTTTTTATTAGTATTTATATCCATTTGTTCGACAGCTTCACTTAAATCCTAGATCATAAAATATGCCATCTTATACTTACAGAATTTAAAATTTACGATTTTTCTGAATGAAAGGGATTATGTTTCTCCACAGCTTCCTGTTTTTTTTATCATATAAAGTAATTTTTACCCTTTACTATTTCCCTTTGTCCCTTGTCTGTCATTCATGTAGACAAATACGTTAACATTTCCCGGTGGCATTAGGTCCCAGTTAATCAGTTGTTAACTGGGGCAAGTAAAGGTTCGTAAATTTGGACATCTTGAAAACGAAACTTTATTTACCATAAAGAAAAACTTTTGATTTCCATCGTTATGGCTGATGCTAACCTCCAGATGAGTTAATTGTTGTGCCTTTTTTGTCTCACATTTTCTACTCACATGAAATGGAGTGATTATATTGACTCAATTACTATGTCTACTGCTTCCTTCATGGGCCTGTGCCCGACAATTTTTCTCACTCGAATCCGCATTTATGGTTTGGTTCGGTTTGTTTTACGGTATATCAACCTGAATGGGTTATTTAATCCCGACAAGATTTTTATTGCTGGTGATATTTTTTTTATCTATCTATCTATCTATCTATCTATCTATCTATCTATCTATCTATTTCAATATATATATTGATTTGGGTTGGTTTGTTTTATGGCATATCAACATCTCAATGGGTTATTTAATGCCGACAAGATTTCTATTGCTGGTAATATTTTTTATCTATCTATCTATCTATCTATCTATCTATCTATCTATCTATCTATCTATTTCACTATATATTGATTTGGTTTGCTTTATTTTACAATATATCAGCCCCAATAGGTTATTTAATCCCGACAAGATTTTTATTACTGGTATTTTTTTTTCCAAACTGCATTGCTGGTAATATTTATTTTCTTCAAAAAATCTATTGCTGGTAATAATGTATTTTTATTGCTGGTAATATTTTCTTTTATCTATCTATCTATCTATCTATCTATTTCAATATATATATTGATTTGGTTTGGTTCGTTTTATGGCATATCAACACCTCAATGGGTTATTTAATGCCGACAAGATTTTTATTGCTGGTAATATTTTTTATCTATCTATCTATCTATCTATCTATCTATCTATCTATCTATCTATCTATTGATTTGGTTTGCTTTATTTTACAATATATCAGTCCCAATAGGTTATTTAATCCCAAAAAAGATTTTTATTACTGGTAATTTTTTTTCCCAAACTGTATTCCTGGTAATATTTATTTTCTTCAAAAAATCTATTGCTGGTAATAATGTATTTCTGGTAATATTTTTTTTTTTTTACTAAAATATTACTGCTGGTATTAAAACCTATTTTTATACTTCTATAGTGTTTCGACCCCAGTTTGGTGGAGTTAACTATTTGCCCATAGTTGGGACCCTAACAGGTGCTACCACTCTGGGGTCAGTGTAGACCTGGGAAAACCAGCAATTAAGAGTTGGTTCCATGCTCCTCAAAACATCCTGATTAGAGTCCTTGCTGCTGGATGTAGTTTATCGTCTTACCCAGAACGTTCCACATTTACAAATCTCCCATTCGTCCGTGCATTGAGTATTATTGAGTATTTAATGGAGATTTATTTATTTTTTTTATTTTCTTTAATAAAGAAAATAAATAAATAAATAAATCTCCATAGACACGCCAACCAGACTAGGGTTAATACATCTTCCGTTTCAAATTTAGACACCCCCACCTTTCCCTGACTTTGCATCTATGAAAGTAACTCTAGACTGATACTTATTATTAAAACCCAACACCCGCCTACCCAATTTAAACAATTCGCCCTAGCTGTTACCATGGAAATTTTGATTTCAATTATTAAAACACGTAAATTTCAGAAATACGTTATTCCAAAAAAAATTTCGCTTGAAGATGGAACAGAGCTTACTTTAACTCAATTTAATTTAAATAATTATATTGAAGTTTTCGGCTCTTGTTTTGAAACATGAGACCTCTTATGTCGCGAGTTGGAATCATATTTTTAAATAAATAATTATATATATATATATATATATGTGTGTGTGTGTGTGTGTGTGTGTGTGTGTGTGTGTGTGTGTGTGTGTGTGTGTGTGTGTGTGTCCAACTTTGGTTAAAACTTAACTAAACTTATTTGTTAAAGCTTTTTTCTATATTTCGGACAATTTTCTTGGCTACCGGTATTTATTTAAATATAAATTCTCCAATGCCTGCGTACCATATTTTCCGGTTTACAAGACGCTACGGCTTGGAAGACGCACCCTAATATTGGAATGAAATTTCTAAGGAAAAAAAAGTCATTCTCATAGAACAACACATTCATCATACGTCCTTCACATACTGTCACCACGTATTGTTTACATTAATCACTCGTCCGATTTTGTTTGTATGGCAATGACATACTAGTCAAGAGCAGAAATGCTGCCGCTGCTGCTAGTAAACAGAGCATGTTTAAATTTGTGGCTCGGCTCCAGGAAGGTTTATTGTCTTGGAAATACTTGTAACAGCTAACTACTGAGGTTACATCATATAAAAGGCTGAATTAAATAGATAGTTAACATTATAGTGTAATGACTCAACATACAAATCCACGTCCTTATCAGCCAAGCCAATTAGGTGGCCGTCCATGCTTACTTGAACCTGGGCGTTGCCTTATATTCGTCTTGGAAGACGCACACATATTTTTCAGAGTACTTTTTAGGAAAGAAAAAGTGCGTCTTGTAAGATGGAAAATGTGGTACTTTCAGCTATCATAAGCCATTATCAAATAGTTGTATTTTCTGTACTACGGCGCCTTCATCATTTTCAAATATCGCTTCTAAGTCCTCGGATCCTCGGTGTAATGATAAACTACACCCGGCAGCAAGTCCTCATTGAGAGATTGGATGTTTCGAGGAGCGTGGAACCACCTCTTAATTTCTGTTTTTCCCACATCAACCCTAACCCTGAGTGGTAAAACCTGTTTGACAAAACCTCAAAAGGGTCTGTAATGTTATCTCTCCTGGCCTGATATTTCGATTTCAGACACTTTCCCGATATATTTTCTATAAATATGTTTTAATGAGTTCGACTCCCTGGCATCTTGGTCTAATGAATTTAAGTGTACTACTAGATTGGCGATTAGGTCCCATCTTTATATTGTTGAAATAGCGAGAGATGTAACTGAAAGTTCTCTTCTAATATTTTCTTGCATTTGACACCTGTGGAAATCTCTTCCAGTTTCTTGCCTTCTTGGCGTCTACAATCTTAGAAAAAATATAAATGAAATACCAATCGCCATCTTGTTTCTTCTTTAAACCTGTTGTTTTATTGTCTTTCTTTATCACTAAAGTTGTCTGATTCTCTTTTCACTCTCAGAACCGCCTGACGTTTTCGTGGCATTAACGCTATGCTTGGGGTGAAATGATTCAAAATAATGTAGACCACTCATTTCCTGTCTTCAATATACCCCGCGTGTGTTATATTTTCCAAGCCCCCTTTATTCATTATGCTTTCTGGTTGTTAGACGTTGCTGTTCCTCTTGTCCTTAAAACATCCACTTTGCTCAAATGTTATGTTCATGGTATTTTTTTAGCATTTGTAGGATGAACCACATCTTTGTCGCTTCGAGTTCCTTCTTCATCTGTGAGGAAATTGTTTCTCTACAGGGGATTAGATATTACGTAGCACACAAGCGTCCATTTTAAATCTTTATTTTTAGCTCTGTTCTCTATTGCATTACGAATTTAGAGATTATTAATAAAATCCAAAGAGTATGCAATTATATCCGTTCTGACCTGGCAACTCGGCTTTACCACCGCCATAATATAGCTTTCTTCTGCCTTTTCTATAAATACTTTCATGGCAATTGTTCTGATGAACTTTCCTCTTTGGTACCTAGATTTTGAATTTTAGGGCAGTACTAGATTGATGCCAATGCATAATCATTTTACAATTAAAATAGCGAGATGTAAGTGTAACTTCTAGGCTAATAATTTCTTCAGTCGTACTTCTCGCTTGTGGAACACTTTTCCGGCTTCTTGCTTCCCAGTCAAATTTGATCTTTACAAATTTAAATGCAATGTCAATCGTTATCTTCAGTTTACTTAATTCTTGTTCTTTTATTGACCTCTCTCTTTAGTAGTAGTTTGGCTCATATTCTCTAACACACAGTAACCCTCTTGCGTCCTAGTGGCTTTATTGCCTTTGATCTTCAAATATTTAAATGCAATGTCAATTCATTATCTACTGTCTTCTTAATTTTGTTCTTTATTGTTCTTTTATTTTTCTCATATTCTCTAACCAGTTTGTAGTGGCTTTTTATTGCCTTTGATCTCCATATATTTAAATCTAACGTTATTCATCTTTTCTTCTTGTTCTTTTATTGTCCTCTCCCTTTGTTGCGTCCTAACATTCAGTAACCCCTTGCGTCCTAGTTGCTTTATTGCGTAGCCAACCAGGGCTCCTTTATTTCTAGCCATATTTTCCATTGTCCTATTACATTACTTAG